AGGGGAATCCATTTATTGAGCCAAGTATGTGCGACTCCTCTACGATAGGTGGAGATATGCCCCCTTTCAGCTTGTTAGTATTGGACCTTTTTCCTGTTGACCTATTACGTCACAGACCAAACAATGGACAAACAAGTTAGCTACGGTTAGCTAGCAGCTAACTGGTACCATGGTGGACAACTTTACAGCTCTGTACATTTGGTCCGTCCAAAAAGTCACGGCTCTGGATGTAGATTTCTCCATGTTGTTACCGGCTTCTTCTTCTCCTACACATTTAATGCTATTGGACTTCCGGGTCAAAGCCCGGGGCGGAAACTGTGGAGCATGCTCAGAGCGCCTCGGCCAGTTTGGGTCTGATTGACTGTATACATGCATGTCTCTTTAGGAAAAGTCCAGTCCGGTTTTAGTCAGAGTGACACAGTAAATCCATTTCCTCTGATGTCATGTAAACGCACTGACTGAGTGAATGTTCAGACTGAAAACTGACTCTCACATATTAAAGGAATTCTTCTCCCACAAAACGACCATTTGTGTATCAGTTACATGTTACAGCGTGTTGCCTTGAAGTCATGAAGAGAGTGTAGTTTTCCAACACGCCTTCACAGTGAACGGAGAATCCAAAAACGTAAACGTTCTTCATAAATTAAAATAACAAAACTTCATCAGAACATCGTCACGAGCTGTACTGCAGCCGGCCACCAGGGGGCGATCCAGATGTTCTGGCTCCACTTTCTGGGATCTTTATTATCTTTATGTTCAGTCTGCGGTTAATAACTCTGCTCGCCCTGATTGAAATGTCTGCTGCTTTTCAATAATCACAAAAAAAAGGACATCCGTCCCCTGCTGAGACTGCACCAAGGGACCGGGGATTTAACACACACACACACACACACACACACACACACACAGACGCAGGTCAAACAGTATGGTTTAATCTTCTCAGCAGCAGATGGGTCGAGTTTTGTCACATCACCATTGACCAAAAAGCACAAGTGTCAGTTTGTCAATCACACAACGTCTTCCTGTGATTGGCTGACCTGTCTGACACTGTGTGTGTGTGTGTGTGTGTGTGTGTGTGTGTGTGTGTGTGTTGAACTCCTCCCAGCTGGCACCTCCACATGATGAAAACAAACAAACACCTGTCAGTCAACACAGACATGCCTCCATCCTCCATCCTCCTCCTCCTGCTGTTCATCTGTGCTGCTCTGTGTTTGTCTAACCTTTGACCCCTCACCATGCTATTGTTCAGCAGGCAGAGGCCACCCCGCCCTCCTCTCCCATAATCCCTGTGATCCCAGTCTCACCAATCGCAGCCGAGACCACCATCATCCCTCCGACGTCACAGGTTTCTGTTTTTTTTGTTGTTGTTGTTGTTGTTGTTGTTTTTATTTTCCTCCACTCGTCCCTCTGCTCCATCCATCCATAGATTTATCTTCTCGTTCATTCGGCTGCTCGTCTCGCCGCCATCGTGTCGCTCCATGTCTGCCGTCCAGCTGCGGCTCTGATGAACCGGTCGGAATGTTCGCTCACACAGCGGGAGAAATGTCACAGTAACTAAATGAACCACAACCCCCCCCCCACCCCCCCCCCCCCCCCCCCCCCCCCCCCCCCCCCATCCGACACACATGACTTTTAAGAGCCCATCTGGCTCCTCCCGGGCAGAAAGTGAGCAAGCGATCAGGGCTGACGCAAAGAGAATGAGTGAGTGAGTGAGCGTGTCAGATTGACTTTAAAGCTCGAAGAAGAAGAAGAAGAAGAAGAAGAAGAATCGTTGAGGACTCGATTGGACTGATTCAGGCTTCATGCTTCAGCACTGCATCTTCTGCAGTGTGAAATGCCACCATGTACGTAGCGCCCTGTCCTCACTAATCTCTGCTCAAATCCACCGGCTTCCTGTTTTATCCTCCGTTAGTACCATCAGAGGGGACGTCTCTAATGTCAGCGCTGCCTTTTATTTGCCGCAGCTTGTGTTCAGTGTGTGTCTGCAGGGGTGGAGCTCTGTGGGAGGTCGCTCAGGTTTTGGGTGTTGACGGGTGGTGGTGGGGTGTATTTTTAGGGGGTGATGTTTCCTCTGACGCTGTGATGTGTCTTCTCTCCTCAGGCCAACCCTCCCCCTGTGGTGGTCAACACGGACAGCCTGGACACGCCTCCATATGTGAGTCCACCTGTGAATGAAATTAACATGTTTTGATCATGTCAGCCATTTTGTTTTTATCATGTTGCTGTGGTCACGGCGGCGATAGCTGTGGCCGGAGGCATTATGTTTTCAGGTTGTCCATCCATCCTTACGTCTTATCTCAAGAGCTCCTTGAGGGAATTTCTTCAAATTTGGCACAAATGCCCACTTTGACTTATGAACTGGTTAGGTTTTAGGGGTCAAAGGTCACTGTGACCTTGCATCTGTTTCATTCTTGTGAACCCCATACCTCAAGAAGGCACATAGAAAGTTCTCTTAAATTTGGCACAAACGTTCACTTGGATTCAACGACAATCTGATTAGAATTTAGTGGTCAAAGGTCAGTGTGACCTCACGGAACGTTTTTAGCCATAACTCAAGAATTCATAAACTAACTATGACCGAATTTCACACAAATGTCTCACAGGATAAAATAATGAAGTGATGACATTTTATATCCAAAAGGTCAAAGTCATCTTCACTGTGACATCATCGTGTTCTGCGTAAAACATTCTATTATTCAGGATCATATGTCAGGAACAGAAGGGGAGACATTTGATCAGATACTGAAATGGTGACACTATGTACACACTCAGTGGCCACTTTATTAGGTACACCTTACAAGTACCAGGTTGGACCTCCTTTTTAATTCTTGGTGTCACAGACTCAACAAGGTGCTGGAAACATTCCTCAGAGACTTTGGTCCATATTGACATGATGACATCACACAGTTGATCCATGATGAGAATCTCCCGTTCCAGCACATCCCAAAGGCGCTCTATTGGACTGAGATCTGAAAACCCGTGTGAATTGTAGCCTCAGTTTCCTGTTGTTAGCTGACAGGAGTGGCACCTGGTGTGGTCTTCTGCTGCTGTAGCCCATCTGCTTCAAGGTTGGACAAGGTGTTGTTGCTTCAGAGATGCTCTTCTGCACACCTTGGTTGGAACCAGTGCTTATTTGACTTCCTGTTGCCTTTCTATCATCTTGAACCAGTCTGGCCATTCTCCTCTGACCTCTGGCATCAACAAGGCATTTTGGCTCACTGGATATTTACTCTTTTTGGGACCATCCTCTGTAAACCCTAGAGATGGTTGTGCTGAAAATCCCAGTAAATACTCAGACCAGCCCGTCTGGCACCAACAACCATGCCACGTTCAAAGTCACTTCAATCACCTTTCTTCATCATTCTGATGATCCGTTTGAACTTCAGCAGCTCGTCTTCACCATGTCTACATGACTAAATGTTAATGAGCTGCTGACACCTGATTGGCTGATTAGCTGTTTGTGTTAATGAGGAGTTGAACAGGTGTACCTAATAAAGTGGCTGGTGAGTGTATGTATCCTTTATTTAACCAGGTAAAAGTGTTATTGAGATTGAAAAGAGGGCAGCAGAAACTTTGAGACGAATGAGACATGTCGAGGTTGCTCCGACACACCTGACTGGACCACATCGAGCCAGATTACAAGCAGCAGCGTACCTCTGTGTCGATGATGAGCTGAAGGTAGAAGACTCCTGTTGAGTTGTCTCCGGTCTGTCTGGTCCTCTCTGACTGTCCTTGTCGGACTGGCTCCTGGCATCAGTCCAGTCTAAATTGAATTGGCAACAGATTGTAAACAGCTGGCCGGCCTCTGATTGGCTCAGTGATGCTCGAGATGTTGGCTGCTGTCAGCGACATCCTGCGTTATCTCGGCCAGCTTAATTTGCAGAAGAGCGAGATGTTAAGAAAATAAGAAAAGGAGGTTTGAGAAAGCAGCTTACTCTGGCCGGCTCCGCTTCCAGCACGTTAAACTCCAGAGTCATATCAGTTCACCAACACTGCAGCGTGATTTCTTTATTAACTTCACTCTGAAAACTTTGACTTTGGAGCTTTAAAATGAGGTTTTTTTCTACTTCTGTTCATGTGATGCTCAAACTCTCTCTGAGCTTCAAATGTGGATGTGAGATGTCTTTTCCTTTTCTGGGAGGTTGATGTGAAGAGTTGCAGTTTAATAGATGATATTAAAAATAAATAATTTAGGTTTCAGTTATGAAATGAAGTTGTTTCCATTTTTGTCTTTTTACGTCTTCTCCACTATTTTAATTTTACAGCTGTTGTCAATTTGCAGATTCCACATAAACATAAGATGTGCAGGGCTTCTCTCCACCAATAATTTTCCTCGACAGTAGAGACTCAGGTTGTGGTTCATTTCTCCCTCAGAGACATCATGTTATTTTTGATTTTGATTTTTTCAACCAACAATGAACCTTCATTAATATAGGCCTATATTTTATCTCCAAGTGCACGTCACACACTGAGCGAGCCGCCTGTTAATGACGCTGTGGGCTAATGGGCATGTAGCTACTTCCATGTTTCAGATGATACGTCATGTTTGTAGTCGACCTCACTCCGTGAAACCGAAACCGACCATGGCAGTTTTTTTGGCAGAGCGAGCTACTTACTTTAGCTGAGCGGTTAGCAATCTGCCTGTTATTTGAGCAAACTGCTAGTTATTTAGCTTTACAGTTAGCGATGGTTTCTCCCTCTCTGCTGCTCTCTCTTGCTCAGTGCGTCTTATGTTTAGCTATTCCTCTGCCTCTTTTATAAATGCAGTTCATTTACCAGCATCAGCTCAGCATTATAGAAACCTATCGTTAGATGTTGTGGTTAGCCAGCCACTGCTCCACACTGCTCCGCAGCAGAGGCTGCTGGCCGGAGCGCTGGTGTCCCGGCGGGCAGCAGTGCTTGCAATACACTGGTGGAAATGATTAATATTTCGATAACATCAGCCAGATGTTTACTTACCTGTCTAGTAGAACACACGCGAGGTCGGCATCGAATTGTAGTCCTAGATTTTCACGAAGCTCTCTCCATCACAGAAAGGCCACACCAATATTTATCCTTGATTTAGCTCTCTTCTTATCCCAAATTCTTCTGGGATCGCTTGGTTGACCCGTACGTTTCCGTTTTACCGGCTTGTTTACCGGCACAGCTTCGGTGTCAGAAGGTGCAGCAACCGTCAATGCATAATTATGATCCATGACGAGTTAGCTTAGCCTAGCAACAATAACGTTCATTCTCTGACGTCTCAACCGGTCTGCTACTTCTTCTTCTCCTTCATTTAATGGCTATGGTAACTGGAGTTACGTCGCCATTGACATGCGACCTAAAGACACGGTCCGTAACTATTATTAATATTTCATATTTATCTGGGTTTGAAAAATTGTTGGAAACATTTCTGATAATCAAAGTACGCAACTAAACAAAATATATAATATTGGTTTAGTCGTTTTTAGACATTTTTATGTGGAAAAACTACATATTATACCTTTAAATGATAAATAAAATGTACAAAACACACTTTACCAACAAGAAATAATTAAGTGCACTTCTGTGTGTGTGTGTGTGTGTGTGTGTGTGTGTGTGTGTGTGTGTGCAGGTGAACGGGACGGAGGCTGATTATGAGTACGAGGAGATCACGCTGGAGAGGGTAAGATGACAGCAGACGACCTTTTGTATTTCCCCCTCGTGTCACCTCCATGATGTAACAGTCCACAACTCACACTGAATCCTGGCAGCAGACACTGCTCAATTTAGGCGTACCACATTTTAAGACTCCTACAATATGTAGCCTCCAGCCCAGTGGGGGAGAGGCAGCTGCACGTCCGGGTGATAACATGATGTCATCGTGACGTCGGCCCTAAAAGGGTCTATTGGTGCGGTGTGGCGCAGTGCATTCTGGTAGTTGTAATTTTTCTTCCTCTTGTAAAAAAGTGAATGCCACAGTCCTTTCCTGCTGTTATCTTTTTTTGTCATGTAGCACCAGTTTCAGAAGTACTTGTGTGTTTGTCCTGCTGACAGCTCAGTTATATGAATAGATCATCCTTCCAGCAGTGAGATGCGTCTTTAACGATAAGATATTTCACACTTTGATGCGACCACGATACTAACCAGCAGGAGTCTGAATATTTATCCTTTCATATAAACACAGCCTTCCAAATTATATTTCTAAGTAAACATAAAAGAAGAATGTGCTTTTCTCTTTACAAACGTTGGTGTAATTCTACTCTGATTAAACCTCAGTTACTAACGTGTGAAGAAGCAGAAGAGAATATGAGCCTGAGGCCTGTTGAGCCTACAGACAAAATAACAGACAGGCTGTACTGTAGCTCCTGCAGGACTCAGCTGGCAGAGATGGTTTTTATTCACGCTGCACTGATGATAATTTGCACTTGAAGAAGCACAGCTGAATTAGGACAATAAGATATAACGGAAGATAATAGAGAAGATTTCACCACAGGCAGAGCGAGGGATTAAAACACAGCTGCATTAAAGAGAAACACACAGGAGTTGATTCATTATGTCCTCGTTTCACCAGATCTCACACACATTCGGACACTTGTAAATAATTAAAATAAAGTGCTGGAGGTTCATGAAGTACGACGGCGCATCAGGGACACTGCAGGTTAAAACTAGAATCACTGCCCTGTGGTTGTTCACCTCCGCTGCCCGTCAACGAAAACAAAGACAACAATGGTTTAATGTGATCAGACGAAAGGACTGTTCCATTCCGTCTGAACTGGAAAGTCTTGAAGAGCAGCAAATTTAAATCATCGTATCCTCATTCAAGTCAGCGAAGCGCAGAAGAAGCTTCATGTGCCGCTGAGGAACTTTCATCGGAATACAGGGGGCCCCGCTGCCAACGCTCTGTCGAGTTCTCTGTATACATCCATGGGGTTGAGTCTGAACATGGGGTTTGACATGGTGAACACAAAACTTTTTAATTCAGTGTTTAGCTGCTGTGAATGAAACTCAACACTTCCCTCACATCCAGAACCTCCAGCAGCTCAAAGGCAATGAGCACTTCCTTTCCTGACTTTCAATGTGAAAACTCTGCAGGAAGTGTGCAGAAAAAATGGCAAACAAGAAGTTAAAAGCAAGAATCCCAGACACACCAGACTGACCTCAGAGAGCTAGCGGCGATGAGAGCCCCCGGCTCTGTCGCCAAAAAGTTGCACATGAACACACCACAGAGACTCCAGCTGACGGCCAACCATCAAGCATGTTCTGCACCTGCGTGAGAGGAAATAACTCTCCACAGCAGCAGCGTCTGTATTCATCATTCAAAAGGAAAAGGAAACAGGAAGAGCGTCTTGATGCTAGTTAGCCAGTTAGCACATTAACAACACAATCAGAGCATTTTTACCGTGCGCCAGTGAACAGTAACACAAACCATCAGGAAAAATAATCTGACCTGATGGAACAAGTTGGTTTTGCTCTCACTCCCTCTGGACTTTAGCTCCTCCTTTACTCAACTCACTGACATTTCTCTGCTCGTGCGCTGAGCTGAACTGACAGTCAGGCAGATTTTAGGCTTCGCCATCGCCGTCACTGATTCAACATGCTGCATCGGCTGGTGAAAAAGCAGAGAGGGGTGACGAGGAGCAATAGTGTGGGATACACGGCACTGAGGAGGGCGGCGGACGCTCACTGATGGCTGACCGTCATCTTGGTGTGTCGGGGCCTTAACATATAAACAAACCATAAAACCTGAGGATGATTCTCAACATGAAAATGAAAACTCTTAAATTTAAGATCTCTGAAAGAGCAGAAATAATTTTTACGAGTCTGTCGACCTCAAATATCCATCAGACACCAACGTTCTGAACGTAAATCTCTGAGACTGTTTGTTTCATATGGAGCGTGCTGTGTGTGTAATCACTCATCAGTGACTGTTGTTAGAACGTGTGTTTTGTTTGTTTGTTTTTATTGTGGTTGTCATGGCGATTGTCTGCGTATCCAGGGGAACTCGGGTCTGGGCTTCAGCATCGCGGGCGGCACAGACAACCCTCACATCGGTGAAGACCCCAGCATCTTCATCACCAAAGTCATACCTGGAGGAGCCGCTGCTCAGGACGGACGGCTCAGGTGAGACAACACACACACACACACACACACACACCTGGAGTGAAACATCAGGCTTTTGAAGACAATATTTTATCAGATACAAACTGAATTTATGAACCAACTGTTGATAAGTTAGTTAGGAACTGGTGTCTTTTACCCAGAAGCCCCTGCAGCGTCCTGCTGCCTTTCACTCCTTCATCCATAATGCAGCAGACAGAGTCTGACACACCTGATCCAGGTGGTGGTGATGATGATGATGAGCTGTGGGATGAAGAGCCGGTGCTGCCTCAGGCTCAGGTTGCCTCTAACACATGACCCCTGTGTTGTGGGTCTGTCAGTCATCAGTGAGGCTCATGTGTCTGACTGAAAGCTCCGGTCACTTCCTGCCACACTGAGTCAGGAGGAAAGGAAGAGTTCAGAGGAGAGAAGAAATGGACCAAGAAAAGTGAAGCTGAGCGATGAGCGTCGTCAGTTTGTGCTCTGAGTCAGTTTGCTTTCCTGCTTCAGTCCAGTGTGAAACGTAACGACCGAAAGATCAAATAAAACGAGCTTTAAATACGATGTCATGCAAGAAAACAGGCTTAAAGCACTAAATGACCAAACAGGAACTTAGGTGGTGAAGTTGGTGTTGAGCTCCTGCTGTGCACGTCACAATACCAGAAAGTAGTCGGTACCAACACTACTAAAGTTCCATGATTCTCCATAGACCATTTGGTACCACGCTACAAAACAAAAACAAATCAGTAAATCCTAGAAACACACACTCCTTTATTAAAAACATTCAAATTAAATTTTAATGTCATTATTAATCCCCGATGATCCGTCTTAAACACAAAGTACTAGTCTATGTCAGGAACACTCCATAAAACTTCAATTATTTGCTTTAATCCCTAAACTGCTTGGCAACCAGACCAGGCTTCTAGATGTGTAGCTACACTGGGCTGGTGAAAGGGACTGGGCGGTGAACTGAAGTTTTACCGTATATAAATATGCTGCTCTCGTTCATGTAAGATGTGACGGTTGGTATTTGTCCAGCCCCTCCTCTGCTGTGATTGGATTGCTGGGTAAAAACTGACAGTGATGAGAGCAGCGTTTTGCCCAAAGTTGAACATTTTTCACTTCTTGGTGACCAGAAAAAACAAACGCCAAACGTTCAGCGCTTAGCGCAGAGTAGACTCTCGTCACCGGGGGTGCAAATCACCAGTTTCATCATGATACAACATCATATCGATTCTCTGGGGTCCGCTCATTATTCCGACATCCCATTGTTACGAAGTCCCGTTGTTCCGAAATCTCGTTGTTCATTGTTACAAAATAACTGTTTCATGGTTAAGGTCTGGTTAGGTTTAGGCACAAGAACTACTTGGTTAAGATTAGGAGAAGATCATGCATTGGGTTAAAATTATAACTTTCAACATCGTTTCTACTTCCTCAAAACAGGGAGACCGTTGTCGTCACGGCAACAATAAACAACACGACAACACGGTCTCTTGCTGCTTGATTTCCAACTTTTTGCATTGCAACATTGAGATTTCGGAACAATGGGACTTCATAACAACGGGTTTAATATGGTCGGACCAATGGGATGTTGAAACATTGAGATTTCGGAACAATGGGTAATTTTCGGAATAATGGGATGTCGAAATTATGACATGGCACCTATTCTCTGCGTCTCCTCACAGAACAGCTCGGTTGAATTTCAGCCTGAACATTGTTGAAACAGCAGCTGATGTTGCTGCAGTGAGAAGTTAGCGGAGTGAGATGTCGTCCAGGCAGGAACGTCGTGTTGTTAACAGCATTGTTTCCATATGACATGTGCTCTGTCTGCTGACTTCCACACTGTTGACTTAGAGTAAATAAATTATCCTCATCATCTGCCTGCTGCTGTTTGACAGTGACAGACTTCCAAAATAAGCCATAACTTAAAGATGATGATACGGATCAATGTTTTTACTTTGCATCAATGATATTGAATCGTTGATCATTAAATCGATATATTAGTCTAGATCGCTGGATCGTTACACCTCTACTGGAGTTTGTACGGGAGTGTAAATATGCAGCACTCCCATTGCAAAGAATTAACAAAATAAGCTGGCCTCTGACATTCTTCTTTTGGCATTTAACATCAGACTAAAACACCAGCAGGTGTCGGGTCTGAAAGATTTGAATCCTTGGTACAGTACGGCCCTCGAGAAAGAACGAGTACTGTCATGTTTTCAGAATTTTGGCATCATCTTGGTGCCAAACAGAGGTGGAAGAAGTACCTGAAAGGTGAACTTGAGTAAAAGTACAGATTTCTGACCAGAGAATGACTTTGGTAGAGAATAAAGTCACAGAATATGACTTGAGTGAAAGACTTTAAGTATCTGATTTTTACTGCATTTAAGTGTCAAGAGTAATTTTATGATCCTAAATGTACAAACATTTTTCAACAGTATTGAAAGTAAAAGTACAAATTAACGCAAGTAATAAAAAAGCAAGTGGTCAGAATTTTACATGAACATTCTGAACATGTCAAAATGGTGAGAAAGAAAGACGAGATCTTTTTAAGGAGCCAAATCCATTTTTTTTTTTTTCATTTATTCATCCGACCATCCCTCTGTCCTTCCCTGTTTCGCAGTAACAGAGATGTGTAGGGGAAATGTGTGGGAGTAAAAGTGAAAGTTGACAGTAGTGCCCATCCCTACTGCCGAACTGTGAAACCTGACTGTGACGACACAACCGTCCCCTCTCTTTATGCACCTGTGAAACAAATGAGACACTGTGTTTATATCATGTGGAACTGTCTGCCTTCAAGGTGACGCTAAAAGTCTTCCTGTGTTTCAGGGTTAATGATGTCATCCTGAGAGTTAACGAGGCGGATGTTCGGGATGTGACCCACAGCCGAGCCGTGGAGGCCCTGAAGGAGGCCGGCTCGCTGGTTCGACTCTACGTCCGCAGGAGGAAACCCGTCTCAGAGAAAGTGATGGAGATCAAACTAGTGAAAGGACCCAAAGGTGACAGAGGGTGAAACCATTAAACATCCAGTGAGCATGTGCAGAAGCTAACGTGTTGAGTGTCCTGTAGCTCCTGTAGTGGAGCATACAGACGGGGTGGATGTGTTGTTGGATGTGTTGTCGGATCATCTCAGCTTGCCGAGGAGCTTTAGTGAAATCCCTCAGGGCCTCATGATTATTCAAGAAGCCAGGCTCAAGAACAAAGCCTCGGTTTCCACGGAAACATCCTAAAATATGCTTTTGTGCATTCATGTGCCCTGATTTGTGCCGGTGTGTAAAATTGGCAGCAGCGTGTGTCAGTGATATCTTCTAAATCTTACTGTGCAGTGAAGGTAGGTGGTGCTGCTGGTCTAACAGTCGTGTGTCCCCCGCCCCGGTCCTGGTCCTGGTGTGTTGCAGGTCTGGGCTTCAGTATAGCAGGCGGAGTGGGGAACCAGCACATCCCAGGTGACAACAGCATCTACGTCACCAAGATCATTGAAGGAGGAGCTGCACATAAAGACGGGAGGCTGCAGATCGGAGACAAACTGCTGGCTGTAAGAACCTTCCACACAGATTTGTGTCCTGTCACAGCTTTTATCCAACATGTCCACTCGTCTCGTGACGTTTGGAATCAGTTTTATGGGTTCAGATTGTCAAAGCATGTTGTATATTATTTTAAAAAAGATTAAAAAGATTTTTTTTCTCTTAAATATCATTTGTCTGATAAAACATAAAACCTCAGCAAAGAACAAGTAAAGTTAACTGGAAGACCTGAAAGAAATCAGAGAGGCTGAAGTGGACACATTTAGTCTTCCTTCGAGTAGTGGTGGTAGTGTTTGTAGTAGCATTGGTGGGAGTAGTTTTAGTGTTGGTGGTGGTGGTAGTAATGGAGGTAGTAAATGGTAATCCGACCAACACACAGTATGATTTTTTTTACACTACGAGTCACATTCACCCATTCACACACACATTCATACACTGGTCAAGGCTACCATACCAGGTGCCACCTGCTACTCAGTTTTTACCACACTCACACACCGATGGAACCTTCGGGAGCAATTTGGGGTTCAGTATCTTGCTCAAGGACACTTCGACATGCAGACTGGACGACCCACTCTACCTCTGAGCCACAGCCGTCCTAACTGTACGTTCAAACCAGAAGCTTCCAGAGAGGCAAAGTCTCTCGCAGACATCCAAGAAGCACAACTGCCAAAATATTTGTGGCAGCTTTGGTCGCTCTAGTCGCTCATCTCGTGAATCACTGAATGCTCGATCGCGCTTGTCAATTTGAGGGGCTGTCCACACCAACGCAGGTATTTATAAAACCGTGACTCTTTGCTCACAGTTTTGCCTCTCATCCACACGTAACCGCAGTTTTGGGCCCCTGTAACCGGAGTTATTTGTAACCGGAGTCCAGGGGGAACTTTTTGGAAAAGTCCGGTGTCAGCAGTCATGTGTGGACAGGATAACCGCAGTTATTTTGTCTCGTCTCCATTGTATGACGTCACAGTGTGCGACGTAAACAGAAAACAGCTGTGTTATTACCTGATCCAGTGTGTGCGAGAGACGATTTGAGGATGGACCTAAACAAAATACTGCTGCTATTTAGCAGCATATCAGCACTTTGTGGCTGTATCATACAACTAACGCTACTCAACCACATCCAGCAACAGAGGTGCAAGAGTGTGCTGTTACGGAGACCGCTCCTGCTGCATAATAGTACCCCAGCACACCGACACCGCTTGTTGTTTTTCCGGTAATGACGTTTTACTGCCTTCTGATTGGCTACAATGGCCTTACAGTTAGGAGTTATATCGCCACCTACTGCTTTGGCATGTGTATTACATTGCTTGATAGTGGAATTTGCGGTGTCACGTGGACGGAGGTATTTTTATTACACCACTCGTATGGACGCAGATTTTTTAAAAACTGGAGGCCAAAAAAGTCCATTTTTAAAAATACCCATGCTCGTGTGGACTAGGCCTCAATGAGGCGCAAAGTGACTACTGGCTTGAAAGCAGCGTAGTTGCTGCTTGCTGTTGTCCAGTCAAAAAGCTCATAGTTGTGTTGATAAAGTGCTTTGCAGTATGTCATCCCATTCAAACCAAGCAAGGAAGACTCGCATGCTACGTCGCAACATTAGCCTGCAATTCTCTCCTCTATTACGAACATTACACACTTTAAAACTCACCAGACCAACCAACTACCTCTGCGACGCCGTCCCAAGCCTCATTCTTTTTATTTTGGTCTCTGTAACCGAACAGCGACACATTATAAAAGACTGAGTGGGCGCTAACGCAAATAATCAACTTCTCGATATCCATTGTCAGAACAAGTGTGCTGTAGGAACCAAAGTTTCATGGCTTGTTCTCTGGGACCCGCTTCATCGAAGCACGTCAGCATTACGATTGGTTGTCGCCGAACCGCGTCAAAGTTATTACTATAAAGTTAAACGAGTTGTAACTCCCTGCCGGACTGCTCCGGTCGCTTTGTAGCGTCCAAGCCGCGCGGCTGATGACCACGTTGCCCTAGTCGCCCAAGTCGCCGGGCTCTCGTTGAAAATGAATGACCTTCACCGTTTTGGAAGCTCTGGTTGCTGTTGGTGTGAACGTACAGTTACAGTTGTAGTGGTGGTGGCAGTAGCACTAGTAGTTGTAGTAAGCAACGCTCAACAGTGCGAGCGTTTCACTCGCATTTGCGACTAAAAATAGGTGTGTACGAGCTGTAAAAAATATTTAGGGGCACATGTGCACATAAAAAAAACAGCCGAAGCAGCCTATATTTTTGTCAATAAAAAAATATGATAATCTAACCGCAAATGTTGGAGGAACTCCAGCAGCCTTCCCTCTTCCCCGTGTGACATAGTTATGGGCGGTTTTCCAAGCCACTGTCGGCACAATGAATATAAGTCCCACTGTCGGCAGCGTGGAAATAAGTCAAAGTGTGGCGGAGAAGAGGGACCGGGAAAAGCGGCGGACCTCCGTGGAAGCCTGCTCCGTTCTCCCCGCAGTTAGGGACCGTTTGCCATGGTACCGCTGCTGAGCAGGGTGGAAATAAGTCCTGCAGAGTTTCAGAGGACCTGGAGAATGTTTTAGGATAGTAATAACATTATATAAGATAATCATATTGCAAAGATAATATATATAAGATAATAACATTAAAGACAAAATTAAATTGCAATACTTTTTCAAAACTTGATGATTTTACCTTTCTGTACATTTTGTATACAAATTCATTAAATAATTTTGCTTGTAAATGTCTATTTGCATCACGATTATTACGGAAAACACATTATTTGATCAATTTACATTGTGCCCCTAAAGTTCTTTGTGCGCTCCTTACTTTTTCAACTTAGGAGCACATGTGCTCCTTGGGAAAAAAGTTAGCGTCAAGCACTGAGTAAGGATGATGGTAGTAGTGGTAGTAATGGTGGGAGTATTTGTAGTGTTGGTGGTGGTGGTAGTAGCACTAGTAGTAGTAGTAGTAGTAGTGTTGGTAGTGGAGGTATTAGTGGTTGTAGTAGTAGTGTTGGTAGATGTGGTTGTGTTGCTGGTAGTAGTAATGTTAGTGGTGATAGTATCAGTAGTAACAGTGGTGGTAGTCGTAGGTGTGCAGTAGAACCTAAAACCTGCCATGAAAAGATTCTCTTCCCTAAAACATGAGTCAAGTTTTTAAAATCATCCAACATCAGGAACTTTAACTCTGAAGGTTAAAAGTCTTTTCATCATCGTATCATGAGCAATAAAACATCAACAAAACAAGCTCTGTTAAACGTCACACACAGCTGTTATAGAATAAGATGAATAAAGCTTTGACCTCACTCATAGAGGAATGACCCTGTTACATGTCTCAGAGGAAGATGGAGGTCGATGGTGTGATGTGATGTAGTGTGTTATGAAGCAGTGATGTGTCTGTGCTCAGGTGAACAGTGCTTGCCTGGAGGAGGTGAGCCACGAACACGCCGTCACTGCCTTGAAAAACACTCCTGACGTGGTCTACTTGAAAGTGGCTAAACCCAACAGTGTCTTCATGAACGACAGCTTCGCCCCGCCCGACCTCACCAACTGTAAGTTTATTCCTCTGTACAGAGACGTTTTTGTGTACGACTCTCCACACTGGATAACAGAGACGTGTATTATACTGCACACGTTCTGCTGTTGATAAATGTCATCGCCTATGACTGTGTGTAGAATTGTGTATCAAGAATTCTTTTGTTTTTGGATTCTTCGTTCACTGTGGAGGCATGCGAGAAAAACGTTAAAAAAAATTTCTTTATGAATTCAGCGTAACACAGGGTGTGTCACTGAGCTACAGATGTTCATTAGGAGGGTGAAGGATTCCTTTAATGACTTGTCTAATGTGACAGGAGGAGGTGCGTTCACGGACACAGCCCTAACGTTTCAAAACAAGGACAAACTCTCCGTCCTCTCGGCGGCTTAACAAGGACATGAAGCCTGTTTTCTGGTTTCTGTCTTCACACATCACACAAACCAGATTAGCAGGTCCTGGTTCAGATTGTCCGGGTTGACTTTCTGCCTTTGGCCCTGAAGTAGTGTTGAATTCAGGAGGGACTGCAGCGTGTCTCTGATGATGTGGTGGTGATGGTGGTGGAGGAGTTCCCAGTGGCATTTATCAAACAACACGTTTCAAAGTCAAGGCGAGGCAGAGCTCCTCTCAAACACATTCAGAGCACGGACCCTGGATCGGTTCCCAACGACTCCCCCGCTGAACCTTAAAGTCGAGACACTGAAGGACAAACCGGTCCTGGACTGATGATGCAGGGGGAACGATGTCCAGCCGAACCGTCTGACCTGCAGAGAGCGAGGAACTGATCAGATGTTGGGTCGCTGAGAGGTTCAAACAGACTGGAGATCACCTGACCATCATAATAATAATGATAATAATAATAATAATTTATATATCTCAAAAACAAGTTTAAAAGTTGACAGACATAAAAACAAAATGTAAAGCGCAGTATTAGTTTAATGTAGCTAAATATGAAAACAGTAGAGATGATGAATTGAAATTTGAGAATAACCAAATTAATGGGAGCAAACAAACAAAAACTCACCGGTTACTTTCCTTTATGACACAGTGTCTTTCTGTGTCTGTTAGGGGTGCATGATTAATATTCATACTAGGGATGCACCGATATGGATTTTATTCAACCGATACTGATACTTATCTGCATCTCATGGCCGATAACTGATAACTTTACATTTGTATTTTAAGCAGAAGTGTATAACGTGTAGTCTGTGTTCACCTGAGGCTCAGAGAGGCTGGTTTAATGTTCCACAGCTCTGACCGAACCAAATCAAACTGTTAACACAACAAACACAAACAACAGGTGTGACTCTTCATACCTGCGGACATCAGGACCACCCTCACTGGCCCCGCCCCCTTATAACCCTACACGAGTGGAGTCTCTACTGACAGAGACAAACACTGACAGCTGATGAACATCAACATCTGCTGGATCACATGTTCATATCGTCACGCCCAGGCGCCGTCTCACTGTCCCACCACAGACCAGCCGACAGCTACTGTTGACTCACCTCACACATTAACACTCAGCTCACACACACACACACACACACACACACACACACACAGAGTCAGAGAGGTAATGATACCAATAAGCACTAACCGTAGCATCACATGGCGAGCAGTTATTACTAAGTTTAACAACAGTGGAGCCTTGTAAAAGCTCTGTGCTGGATGTTAGCCACTGCTGCTAATTAGCTCGTGCTAACACTCGGTCCTTCAGCACAGTGTCTAACCTGTTTATCAGCTAGCTTGATGCTAACTGGCATCAAGGCGCTCTCCCTGTTTTCCTTTTTGAATGATGAATATAGACGACCGCCACCTGCTGTTACAGCAATCTGTTTCCTCTCACAGACACAGAACATATGTGGTAGTTGGCCGCCAGCTGCAGTCACCGCAGCGTGTTCACATGCAACTTCTTGGCCGAGAATTCTGGTCCCTGAGTCCTGACAGTAAGCTATGGCGAGCCTGTAGAAGCCTTATTTCACATGCATGTCAGCGATTTTCACTGGGGACGCACGCGAGTAATTCAGGCTGACATTACCTGCTTTTCAGCGAACTCCTCTGTTAATTTTATTAAGAGGAATGGCATATAGGTCCACAGTAACTTATTATTGGTATTATTATTATTGGGCTACAATAAGTACCGGGCCATCAAATCACAGCATCCGCAGTGCGCTTTTATGCACGCGGGTCAAGGCGATCACGGATATTTGATGTGGGGAAGATGTAGCCAGATGTATTACCTGTTTTTAAGCAGCACTGAGATACGTGGCTCATCCGTCCGTCCGTCCGTAGCACGAGTCATGTGCGCCACTTCACCACCGACCCGTGAGTAAAAGTGCAAACAATTCTGTGTCCTCTCACCACGGATGCTGTGATTTGATGATCCGGTACTCATTGTAGCTCACTGGCGAACGACCCCCTTAACGAACACGCCAGGGGTTTTTTTGTTTGTTTGTTTTTTTAACATATTTTTTGGGCATTTTAGCCTTTAATTGATAGGACAGCTTAAGTGTGAAGGGGGGAGAGAGAGAGGGAGAGACATGCAGCAAAGGGCCACAGGCTGGAGTTGAACCCGGGCCGCTGCGGCAACAGCCTTGTACATGGGGTGCCTGCTCTACCACTAAGCCACCGACCCCCTTAACGAACGCGCCGTTTTAATAGAACGGAGCACGTAGGCACTGACCTGTTGCCAAACCCGGTCTCACACCATTTCTTGTCATATTCACAGTCTATCACAGTTAGTCAACAATTAGTATCACCCCCTCCCCCCTAAAAAAACAAAACAAAAAACGGTTTTTGTGTACTAATTTTTCATAACCGTTTATGATCTCAAACACGTGTTAACATGTACACGGACTCACCCCTAGAGTGGATACACTGCAGCCTGTTTGACTGCGGCTGTCTGCAGCGCTCTCTCTCAATACTGAACACATTTCAATAAATTTCTGTTCTTGTTAGTCACGCTTAAAAAATGCTGAACCTACCCTTTTAAATACAGCAGACATGAATCACTTGGTTTTAACAGATGCGTTTTAACTGTGAACAGTGAACCCAACACGTACTAAACATGTTCTCCATGTTCAGTGAAAATCCCGACAAAGTCTAAAACAAACTGAGAGCAGTTGTAAAGAGATTAAAGCAGAAGGAGTACGAGCAGACTGCTGCTCCTTTAAAGCCCGTCTGCCAAATGTTCTACAGGCTGAACAGCATCTGAAGAGACTGAACTGTAAACTGTGACACAGTCTGACTGACTCGGGACCCTGACCGACAGGAGCGGTCTGATTTTTGCAAAGTTTCCGGCCCCTCAGCTGATCATTGTGATGATCCAAACATGTCTGATTGAGACTTTTACAGTCCCGACTGTACAGACCAAAACAAGAGAACAAAAAAGCAACACACTCACAACACTGGCGGTTTAATTTCAACTTATTAAGATCAACATTTTTGCAGGAAAGCATCCATATTTAAAAATGAAAAGGTGTTTGAGGATTCGGAGATGTGGCTGTATCAGCACTCCACCCATCCATCATCAACCATCAGATGCCTTTAGATCCCTTTTCTCCAAAGACCCCCCTCATCGACCCCCCACCCTCCTCTTCCTCTGCTGATGTCGAGGTTGAGACGCGTGAAGGACGAGCAGCAAATCCAATCAGCGAGCGTCGAGCTGCATCACTGCCGTCACTGTGGCAGAGCTAATCCACACAGCAACACTGCGGTGCACTAACACTGATGTGCTGCCACAGATCCGAGCCGGAGGTAATGAATGAGAAATAATTCTGTTAAGTGTTGTGACTCCATCGTGGAGCGGCTCAGGAACAAACACAGAGGGAATGATTGTTGTGATGATAATGCAGCTGGCCGTCCCATCATCCCCCGCTCCGCTTATCACACGTACCGACTGGACAGACTGGATCAGATGATCAAGAGAAGTGAACAGATTTAATTTCCTCTGGTGTTCATGAACCTCAGGAAGAACAACGACGTGCTCCAGAGCCCACTTTGATTTTTTCAAAATTACTGTTTGAGAAGCTGTAACTGTAAAATTTGGCTTTTTTTTTTTTTTTGGTTTGTAAATGAGCAAAACAACTAACCAAATACCAAGATTGATTTTCTTTTGGTTGATTAATCAGGTCATTATCTCTAAATGCACTGAACAACATGGAATTTTCCACCATGTTTATACCTCAGTATCGCTGCCTTTAATGTCTGACGGTGTATCAAGCCTTCCTTTGGTAATGCTAGAAATCAATCAGTAATTATTTTGATTAGTCAGGTATTTATTTCACGTCATCCAAAAACAGACATTACTATATTTAACATTGCTCACATATTTTACTTTTTTTTTTCTTTTTTTTTTCCCCAGATATTTTACGAATGGTTTTTGGATATTATACACATTTTTTTATTTTATTTTTAACCATTTTTTCAGATATTTTACTTTTTTCATATAATTTATTATTATTTCGGAATTTTTTTAACAATGATTTTAGGATATTTTTTCAGGATAATTTTCTTACATCTTTCAAATATTTTACTCATAAGTTTTGGATATTTAAGTTTTTTTTTTTTTTTTTTCAAATTACCAATAATTTCCAGATTTTTTCAGAATTGATTTTCCGATAATTTTTTAATATTTTCTTTTTGATATTTTTGTTATTTGTTGTCTTTTTTCCCCAAATCTTTCACTAATAATTTTCAGATAGTTCAGTAATTATCTTGAATTGTTCATAATCATTTTGAGTTTTTTTTTNAGTTTTGGGCCCCTGTAACCGGAGTTATTTGTAACCGGAGTCCAGGGGGAACTTTTTGGAAAAGTCCGGTGTCAGCAGTCATGTGTGGACAGGATAACCGCAGTTATTTTGTCTCGTCTCCATTGTATGACGTCACAGTGTGCGACGTAAACAGAAAACAGCTGTGTTATTACCTGATCCAGTGTGTGCGAGAGACGATTTGAGGATGGACCTAAACAAAATACTGCTGCTATTTAGCAGCATATCAGCACTTTGTGGCTGTATC